CAGTTGTTCGTTCTCGACAATGGTCAGTTCGTCTGGATTTTGAGCCTTGAGCAATTAAGGAGTCAAAGAGTTGGTGAGACGAGAAGATAATTAAAATAAAATTCGCGCTTACAGTGTAACTGTACAGAGCTGTACACTTGAAGATAGCCTCCTTCGGTTCAGGAACAATGGATTCCTCCTTCTCCTCCTCTTCGCCGCCCCAGTTGACTTCTGTTGGGTCATCCCAGCCGCCAGTGGCAGCCATCATCGGCACGGCGGCAATCGGCTCGGGTACACGCTCGTCCGCCTCTGTTGTAGTAAGAAGCAAAAAGTTATAATCAGTTTCATGCACTGCTCCTCCACTCATCAGCTGTTCTCAGCTGTACCTTCTTCGCTGTCACTAAATGTCTTATCGCGCGACAATTCCTTCTCCACCTTTGATTTGGCGGCCGCACCAGCCTGCGTGGCAGTAGCGTCCTCCTTGTCGCTGTCATAGAATGAGTCCGAGCTGGGATTTTCCTGTGTGCGTATTATTTTAGATTAGACAAATTTCATTTACCTGACAGCCACACTCACCCCTTGTCCGGACGCATCGGTACGCATAGAGATCGAGCTAGCCGATCTTGCCAATTCCTGTACGCCCATAATCTCGGCCTCTTGCACCCACTCGTCCACATTGATGCCACCTTCACGCAAACTTTGCAAGCACGCCTCGGCCTTGGCCTTCTCGGTCTCAGAGCGCCTTATCAAATCCCTAAACTCCTCAATCTTTGTGTCCAAATCTGGTCCATTCGGATCATTTGGATCGCTGCGTTGTCCTGAGTCACGCAGTGACACACAAATAGCCAACTTCTTAGCCGCCTCACGTATTGCCAAGTTCTCCTTCACCACACGTCCCGCCAAATTTTTAGCCTCTTTCGTAAGCGTTTCTGATGCCGACTCATGTTCGGTGGTAATCTTCCGTACTGGATCATTATCGCACGGTTCGAAATCGTACTGGATGTGTTGCTTCAGCACTGGATAGAAAAGGTAGCAGCACTGCAAATTGTATTCGCGTGTCAATTGTTGCGCCTGATCGCGTATCTTGCCGAATGAGTTCTGTGTGGCAGAACAGGTGAGCAATTCGGTGCGGCCCATTAGTGTCAGGTACTCGGCCACACGTTCAAACACATAATTCTCCATGGTGGTCATCGTTGTTTGTAGATCGACGGTGAAGTAACGATTCTGGTGTGCATTCGCTGCAGCCAAGCTGAGTATGTAGTCATTGCGTGCGCCAGTCGATTTCTCCTCCAGCAGCTCTTTGCGTGACGTGACGCGTGCGCTATTCTTTTGCAGTGATGTAATTGATTGGAAGAATGAACCCTTCTTCTTCTTAAGCTTCTCTTCAATGTCACGTGCCTTATCGCGCACATCATGTGCGCAATGCTCCTCATCGAAATACTGTTTCTTTGTCTTATCCACATCGGATACACTGAGATGTAGCTCCTTTTGTACGTTGACTATTTGTGAGAGCGCCCTCTTGGAAATGGCCAATTTGTAGTCACGTAACACCTTGGCCTCATCGGCTATCTGCTGTTGGAACACTTCGATGGCGGCGAGGCGAGCGCGTGCGAGCTTTTCGTTCTCTTCGAGTACTGTACGCCAAACGCTCCACATGTTCCTGGAGAGAGAAAAAAGTTAGTTATAAGAGGGTAAATTAAATGAAATCGTGTGTTCCACCAATCGAAATGTCTCGATATACTGTGACATCTTATTTAATTGCAAGCTTGTCTTATTTTTGTGGTACGCGGAAAATAACAAAGTTTATTCGATCTGCAGCTTTCAATATTTCTGTGATAAATTACGGCATTTATTTTGGTCACATGATATCAAAAACGGTCCCGCGTACAGAGCTTTTTTAAAGCTTTCTATAGATTTCAAACAGAGCTGTTGCAATCAGAGGGAGCTTTTACTTTATGCACGTCGATATAAAATCTAAAATCAAGTGGCTTATCCCGTGTGGGCTATGTATTGGTCGTGACGTCTATAGAAGGGCATAGCCCTGATCGTCTAGTGATCTATGATATAGTGATGTCGGAGTGAATATTATTCTCTGTATGGCATACTGACATTCATTGCAACCACTAAGTGGTTTAATTTTACCTGAGTGTGTGGTTTCAAGATTGCAAGGCAAGACCGGCTTCTATCATCAAGTAGATAAATATTGGCCCTTGTAGGCCACAGAGATGTCTACTATTTATTTTCATTCGACAAACGCAGAACTAAAAACTTATGGCATTTTCTTTTCTACAAAAAAGTTCGCCTTTTTATTGCCCTCTTCTTAGTATTTGTGCGCTGAGGCCTCTAGAAACGCGACATTTTTCGGTAGAAAAGAAAACGCCCTTAAACTATGTTCACATATCAATATTATCTCAATCAAAGCTCGTTTTTTAATCACCCCGTTTACACAGGCAAATCTCAGATTATTAGCCGTCAAATTTGTTGTGCTTCTTATTCTCACATCTCAAGGAAAAGTTATGTTTCTTCTCTGTGCCACCGTGATCACGTTTTTCTGCTATATTAAGCAATATAAATATATTTTAACTTAACATTTTATTAAAAAAAATACCTTTAAAACCCTCTTTTCCTTGCTAGCGCCCATTTTTGTTTACTTTTACATTTGGCATTTCTCCTCGTTTTTGCAAAAACAATCGATAAAACTAGGATGGACACAGAAAAGTTATCGGTTTAATCTGAGATTATTTTATAATTCCAGATTAACAAGGGACGAAATTTATATGGCTAATCTCTTGTTATAATCACAGATTAGGGTGTTGAGCTCGAAAATGAGGATAATCTACTTATATGTGAACCTAGTATAAGTTAAGCTCCAGTGTGACTACGCGCCTGGCCAAAAGCTCTTCTAATGAAGTTCTCAATATTTGTACATCAAATGAGGAGAAGTCTTTAGCTTCTAAAAAAAAATATTCAGATTTGTGAGTGGCCGCTGGATAGTCTTTATTCAAATAAGGCTGTGCTTCAAAGAGAGGATAATGTTGATATATAAGATCAGTACTGAGCAATCCGGTACAGGTCGTTTAACCCTTTCAGGACCAATCATAAAATTTTACAAATAAATATATTTATCCAAACTAGAAAAACTTACTCCAAATTAGAATAGAATTGCATTTAGAAAGAAAATATAGTACAAAGAAATTTCGGATAAAAAGTATAAAATTGTAGAAAAACAAAACTAAGAAAAAGAGGGCACAATAGATCTCCTGGTCACAGTGCATACCTCAAAAACTACCTATCTATCTATCTAAGAAAAAGAGAGAAAAATTTATGGAAAAAATAATGTTTAGGAAAAATTTTTTTAGGAGGATATCTTTTAAGAAAAAAAAATATTTTTACCAAAAGCAGAGAAAATTATTCAAATGGAATTGTTAAAAATTAGTTTTTCGTTGTCAAGTTTTTTACCGACTCCACAATAGAAAAAGCTTCTCATTTCGTCATGTGTATATATATTTCTAGTTGTAGGCTTACGTTCGCGAAAGGGTTAAGACAGACCACCTAACTAACCAACGAATAGGACGCGCTTCTTATTTAGGAACTTTTACGAAATTTCCACATCTGAAACAACAAAATCCAAAGGTCACTCCAATGCTATCGAACGACTTAAGTCACGCTTTGATGAATCCCCTCTTTAATATTGTACAATATTCTGCCTTTTAAGGAGTCTACACTATACATACATATGCATGGGCATATGCCTCTGCCTAGAGTAGGTACTTCTAAAAATATTTTTAAATTACACATGTACGTCAAACAAGAAAATAAACAAACGAGTCCTTCACCTTTTCAACAACTTGACTGCAGGATATCCATATAAGTAGACATACACACATACATTTGTACAGAAAACTTTTGTAGATATGTATGCAGTTGTGAGAATGTGGCAACTGTTTCATTAACTAATGCTTCAGGACTAATTATTTGTTACTGCTTTTGAAGATGAAGAACGATTTTCAATGCTGACATAAATAGTTGGCCCCACACATAAAAACTGACCTCAACTCTATGTTGCAATGGTGAACTGAGTTCAAGCTCAATGATTTACATTGAAAAGTGAGTCGTAGCTTAAACTTACTTTTTCTACATAAGGCCATAGTCTCACGACTTCAGAACTCGAGGCCTCTATTGGTGCGATGTGGAGGAGGTGCTCTGAAAATTGCGTTATTTATGTGGTTAGGGAGTAAAAGTCACAATCAGTGGGATTCTCTTTCGTTTTATTTCCCCGCGAGCATATTTAGCAACTTTTGCAACCAAAGTAAGAATCAACACAGCCTTCAGCTTTGGGAATTGTTAATGGAATGCATACAAATGTACTTTACACATATGTAATTATATACGAGAATATGAGCAGCAAATGTGTTTTATTTACAGCGTGGCAAGGTCAAAGGATTCAATTGAGTGGCATGTGTATGTAAACCAGACCGAGGCACTTGTATGAATGTTTAAACGCTTTCTGGTCGAAACAATCAAGCGAATTGCAAAATGTTTTGTATTTGCAGAGGACAAACAAATTTTTCTACATGAAAGGACAAATACAGCAATTAGGTTAGACACGAACAAGTATGTATGTACATATATACATATATACTTAGGTACACTTCATTCAGCTGCCATGCATAGTGGCATACATACATACATGCATGTGTAAATATGTAGTTCAAATTCACCTACGCGACTTTCAAAAAAAAAATTACTAATTTAGTTACTTGTTTCCTCACTCCCTCGCCCTACTCACCATCGCTCTTCCATGCCCTCCATTTTTATATCCGGTATATTTGGTATCTTCTTATTCAAGTATTGCGATGAAATTTTCAGCAGCGATTCACTGTATGATTTTTCTATGGCGGATCGCTTAATGGTGAATTGTCGTATATCCTCGAGCAAATCGCATTCATGTTGATTCTTCAATTGCAACTTGGCCACTTGCTCTGTGTGTAAATTCTTCAAGAATTTCACATAGTTTCCCTGTTAAAGAAAAAAAAAAGCAATGTTGATGGAAAAATAATGAGAAAAATTCTAAATGTTTAGACTTACATACATACATACATAAGCAAGAAATAGCGCGCAAATACAACTAATATACAAAACTACATACATACTCGTACTACATACAAGGCTTATAATATTTTCAAAGCTTAAAATAGCAAATAATAATTTTACAAGAATCAGGGAAGCAGCTAAGTCTACAATCAGCAGATTTATTTACATACATACATATGGGTAGTGAATATGATTTCCAAGCTGCATGCATCATTGCATAGTACATACAGCCCAGTAAAAAATTTAATCATGCAAAGAATAATCTTAGGTCGCTATTTTGCTAGCAATGGATTACACCCTACGCCTCGTGCATTTTACGCTCCTTTTTAGCATTCGTCCTTACGGGCGAGCACTCACTCTTTTAGAGCTCCTAACGTAGGACAAAGAGAGCATTCTTTTCATATATTTCTTAGGTCGTTAACTACTCCAAATCGTATCAATAAGCGAGGAATCAATACAATTTTTGGAAACTTTTGAATTCAATTGTTTAAGGAAGGGCCAGAAATTAACAAAGAAAAATAACAATTTTGTGGTAAAAAAGTCACTGTAGTTACAAATTAATTAAAACATCATAATATGGGTATCGAATGGAAAGTGTTTTAAAGTTCGCTGATTCAAAAATTTTTTTAATAGGGTTGCCACCTACTTTGAATTTATTTTATTTTTTGTTTAGAAAAAAAGCTAAAATATTACTATTCATGGCGACCAAGAGAAGGTTCTTAAACAATGCTTTCCCTATATACAAAATATACGTTGCCACTTATTTTCGATTCTACACAATTTATCTAAAACATCGCAATATGGATATCAAATGAAAGGTATTGTTGAGAACTTTGGTAAAAAAATAATTTCCATCAGGGTTACCACGCTTTTATGTAATACAAATATTTACTTTGTTAATTTCCAGATACGCTCAAGACATGTACCATTCATTCGAGCGTATTTCGGAATAGGGTTGCCACCTAAATTTTAGAGTAAGAAATTTACTTAATACATATCGAAATCAAAATTTTTTATTTTTTATTTCCAAAATATTTTTTTAAAGCTATTCAAATCTTTAAAACTTTAAAAAGCATATGCACTCCGGGCAAAGCTCGGTCAACCTGGTACTAAAGTTTATACTACAACAAAAAATATAAAAATAATATTTCTATAAACTCAACTAACTAGCCATTTTCTATTTATTAGAAAAATTTTGAAACTGCACTTTTGTAACCCATTAAATTTTGTTTTTTAACTTATTCGAAGAATCCAACTTGCGCACACTTGACATGCATTTGAACGGTGACATTTCAGGCTACATTTTGAGTGAAGTTAGTTCTGTAATTCGTCGCTCCCAAAAATCCGCGGAGACTTCATATAACCCGATATATACAACAAAAGTATTCCAGGTATCGTTAAAGACACTTTGGGCATTCCAAATTTACTGCAAGGCTTAAGGAGTTTGACAGGCTAACTCCGTTTCAAACAGAGTCGAAGGAAATGATGATGCGGCCTTGAGCGCCATTCACAGGGAGTCGGTCTCAAGTTACGTTTACCCCAGACCTGTGAATGCCGTTCGGGGCACAAAACCACCTGACGCGGATGAGACAGAACTTCGTCTACCTCGGGAGACTCGGACCACAATAGCCAAACTTCG